TATATATGGGGTGCCTGGGTGGCTCAGTTGGTTAAGCGTCCGACTTCAGCTCAGGTCATGATCTCACGGTTCGTGGGTTCGAGCCCTGAGTCGGGCTCTGTGCTGACAGCTCAGAGCCTGGAGCCTGTTTCAGATTCTGTGTCTCCCTCTCTCTGGGACCTTGCCCTGCTCACACACACTCTCTCTCTCTGTCTCTCAGAAATAAATAAAACATTAAAATACATATATATATATATATATATACACACACATATATATATACTTAAAAATGTCTTTTAAGCATTAACTTCTTACATGTAAGCATCATATTTGCATAAGCCAGAGTGTAGCTTGAAGTTATCTTAACCTTGGAACCATCTCAAACAAGTTGTACAGTCTCTGCTGGAAACCAGAAAGTATATTATGAAAGAGTTTTCACTAACTTAATTGGTTTTCTGTGTGGTGTTTCTATAGGTTGCCTGACAAATGAAGTCGACCACAGAGGAACTGTATTTTATCCACAGAATTAATCCAGGAAAATATGTAAAATAATTAACATATCTTCCAAATAAATGAACCCTAAATTCAGATAATGATTAAATTTTCAGGACTAAACCAACAAATTGTCTCAAAGACAAACTATCTAAACAGGAAGTCATGAGGGGAAAATAATCTCATAACAAGATACTTCTCTCAGACACACACATTATACTCAGAATATTTTTGTATCATTTTCAAAATTATCTTTAAAGCTTTACTGAGAATCGGGGGGTGGGGGATGAAACATTATTCACATTCCCTGTGGCAGAACTATGGATTTTTCTTACAAATAGTCTAATATTCCCACTACACTGGACCTATAAACTACAAATAGTCAGGACTTTGTATAAGAAACTCATGATCCCATTCAAAATTTTAAGATATCTCTTCCTTTTCAAAAATTTTGATAAAGAAAATAAGATAAAGAAATTTGGCTCAAAATAGGAGCAAGAGACTTCTGCAGACCGACCCCCCGCCCCTCATTTTTCTATTTTTTTAAAAGTAGTTTTCTGAATTCCATTGAAAGTATTTACTTGGGCACAAGAAATAAGATAACCTAAACAAACGATTAACTAGAAGCATTGTATTTCTTTTTGCTTACACATTTTTACATTTCTAGAATTCCTCGTTTATAAAGAAACAAGCTGTAGCAGGCTGAGTAAGACCACTCAAAAATATCTGTTCCTATTCACTGGTACCCGACATGCTACCTTAGAAGGAAAAGGGGTTTTTGTTGGTTTGGTTAAATCAAAAATCTTGAGCTGAGGAGATTAACCTGGACTATCAAGTGGATACTATATCCGGCCACAAGTGTCCTTACAAAAGAAAGGCCAAGGGAGGTGTGATATAGACAGAAGAGAAGGCGGCAAGCGTGGCCACGTGGACAGAAAATGGAGCGATATGCCCATGGGCCACCGAATGCCTGTAGCCACCAGAAACCGGAAGAGGGAAGGAGCCAATGTTCTCCTCCAGCCTCCAGAGGAAGCTCCCTGACTCTTTGATTTCTGCCCACTGATACCAATTTTGGACTTCCGGCCCCCAGATCGGTGAGAAAATAAATTCCTGTTATTTTAAGCACGAAGGTTGCTGTTAAGCAGCCTCAGGAAACCAGCACAAGATCATCCTTGCAAATGCATTTGAGTCCGCTGACAATCATTATGCTGAGCACACTAGATGAGTCACAGGTTAGAGGGGAATATGTCACCTTCCCTGAAGCTACAGGAATTCCGATTCGGTCAAAGAGAAGAAACGAACGTCTAAGTGGGGTGACTTCAAAGTGGCTGGTTTCCAAAAGGCTCCAATTAGAATGGAGTTTCTTCCATGTAGCTTTCCGTGCAAACTTTCATCCAAAGAAACATTTCTTTTTAAAACTTATTTTTAATAATTAATCACAAATGTAATATTTGTTCACTGTTGAAAAGTTAGAACATGCAGTGATCATTAGTGAATATTTATTTTGTTTCAACGGATGTGTTTCAAGGCGCCTCGGTGAATCAGTCTGTTAAGCATCCAACTTCGGCTTGGGTCGTGATCTCACAGCTCGTGGGTTCAAGCCCCGCATCGGGCTCTGTGCTGACAGCTCAGAGCCTGGAGCCTGCTTCGGATTCTGTGTCTCCCTCTCTCTCTGCCCCTCCCTCACTTGTGCTCTGTCTCTCTCTGTCTCTCAAAAATAAAGAAATGTAAAAAATGTCTCTCTCTGTCTCTCAAAAATAAAGAAATGTAAAAAATTTTTAAAAAGAAAAGAAAAAGAAAAGTTAGAACATGCAAAAATGCAAAAAAAAATAAAATAAAATAAGAAGTTTTACCCACATTCCTACTATCCAGGGATCACTTCTGCTCATATTTAAGTAGAAGCATTCTATTATAAATGTTTGCACATAATTATTTTACTTTTATTTTACTTTACAAAAATAAAATCCTTTTAACATTTTGCAACTAGCTTTTTAATTAACACATTATGAACATTTTCCATATCAGTATAAATTCTACAACAGAACTTGTAATGACTGCGTGTTCTCCATAGCGTTGTGGAGCAAAAATATTAAAATATCTGTTTCAGATGCTTAGATTGTTTTCCCATTTTTCACTAATGAATCTTTGCTGATCTCCCAAGGGTTTTTAAAGGCAAGAAGTAAAGTAGGCAGTGACATTTGGAGACACAGGAAGATACAGTCTCTTTGACATTAGTCCGAAGGTTAAGCTTTCAAGCCAAATCGGGTTCCCTCGAGTAAAATGGTCATTTTTCAGCCATAGTCTCACAGTGTGGAGCACCAGGAAATAGTTTGATGGTGTCAAAGATGCGCAGGGGCAAAGAGCAGTACTGTACCCATTGTAGGAAAGAGTGGATCCGTAAAGAAGTCTATGATCCTAAGCAATGAGCAGAATGATCATCTACACTTGAAACACTTTTATCAGAGAAAGTGATGACAATCCCCAATACAAAAAGATTTTAGTCAGCAAATAACAACACTGAGCTCATGAAGGGTGAAGAAGTTTGCTGAGGCCACCATGGCTGTCAGTGGGAAGACCAAAGTACAGAATTCAAAGTCATAAGCTGAGACTCACAGCCAAAAAGTTTACCACTACAAACAGAAGATCCTTCCATGCCAGGTACCCCAGCCGAGCATAAGTAGTGCGTATTTCAAACATATACACAAAGATCAGTTCTAAAACAACATGCCAGGGCTTCAGCTATCCCCAGAGTTATATCCATTTTACCCTGTCAACACTTCCGAGACAGAAATAGGGTGGTCATCGGGGCACCTGGGCAGCTCAATCGGTTGAGCATCCAACTTCAGCTCAGGTCATGATCTCACAGTTCGTGAGATGGGCTCTGTGCCTGGAGCCTGCTTTGGATTCTGTGTCTCCCCCTCTCTCTCTCTGCCCCTCCCCTTCCCACGCTCTGTCTCTCTCAAAAATAAATAAATGTCAGGGCGCCTGGGTGGCTCAGTCAGTTAAGTGTCCAACTTCACTTCAGTTGGACACATGATCTCACAGTTCGTCGGTTTGAGCCCCGTGTCAGGCTCTGTGCTGACAGCTCAGAGCCTGGAGCCTGTTTCAGATTCTGTACCTCCCTCTCTCTCTGACCCTCCTCTGCTCACGTTGTCTCTCTCTCTCTCTCTCTCTCTCTCTCTCAGAAATAAATAAAGCATTAAAAATTTTTTAAAAATAAATGTTATTTTTTTTTTTAAATTTAAAAAATAAGTGGTCAATAGAGTAGGCACCGTGTGTAGGATGAAATGGTAGGAATAACACTGAGGATGGTTTCAGTGCCTGGTGGGGAGGAACTTCCTCTGGTTTTTATAACATGCCTTTTGCAATGATTCTTCTTTCTCTCTGGTCCTCAATTAAGAGTGGATCCATGTTTACATGTGTAAGCATGTAAGTGGGGGTGCATGCCTCACCCTTTCCTCTTCTCATGGCCCCACTTTCCTTGAGGGATCAGACATCTATGAAATTCCAACTCCATGTAAACGAGGTGCCCTTTGGCTGTCACCCAGTGGTGGCCTCACAGATATTTCAAGTTTCATGAGCTTGAACTCATGACTTCTGAAATCCTGCTTCTCTGTCTCTACCTTCAATGACGGGTTGCCAAATTAGAAACCTAGAACGAAAGCCTTAAGGGGGAGCGGGGGCGGCCTCAAGATTCCTCCAGGGAACAAGAACACTGCCCCCAACTCCACCACCAGTAAGACAAAAGCCCCTCAGCACACAAGGCCACACCACATACCAGCTGATGGTCATTCACAGCTGCCTGCACAGGAGCCCTGGAGAGTAAGTAGACTCAAACTGAGGCTCATCTTGTCTGGGCAAGGACTCCCCATAAATATTCAAGGGGAAGGGCTGGGCTGTGATAAGGAAGGAAAGCCACCCTTGCCCTGTAACCTTGAGGACACTCCGCATTTTCTTTTCCTTTCAATTGCACTGCCCTTCCTAAAGAACATACTTTGCCCTCAATAGTGGACTTTTATAGTGGACTATGGGATCCGCTGGTCACCACTTCCAGGTTGGATTCAGCCCCTCAGTACGCACGCACACTGGGTAACTAGACACTGGGTCGGCTGTGCTCAGCAGGGCCAGAAAGTGGTGTAATGCGTTCCCTATAATCTCCTTAGCCAGGACATAGCTATTTGATTCCCCACGGCGGACACTTCTGTTGCCTCTCTAGTATCTCTTTAGCTCTTCCCTCCAGTTGGAATTTGCAGATTCCAAAGCAAATAAACTGCAATGATTTTAAGTCAATTCCAGTTAGGTTTTCTGTCATTTCAACCCAAAGGACCCTAAACCATTGTTTATCTTTGTGTCCCTATTAACATCTGGAAAATCCTAAGAGTGTCGCAATATATTCTTATGGATGAAGAAGGACATGAATGAAGAAAATTATGAGGGAAGGGAGGGAAGGAAAGAGACGGCCAGAAGATGTAGAGGTCAACATAGTAAAAACTGCAGAAAAACAAAAGCTTGCCTCTTAAACAACAGATGGTAGCTCACATCGACTTTTACCTTTCCTCATTGGGGAGACAAACTATAGTAAGTATGTTTTCATTTGTTTACAGGAAAGTCTGAGAAAGAATAAAGAGAAAATGGATTCAAATTAGATACCATTCACTCTGAATCTAGAGGTTCACATTTACACCAAGAGATTTAATAACCAATAAAGACTAGCTGCCTGAATCTTACTTCATATGGTACGATTCTTTATTTTACTTGTATTCCATCTTGATAGTGAAATCAGAAATGTATTTTGCAAAAACGCCTGCACAATTTGCAGAATGGGCCTCACGCAATGCCCCAAATCACCTACACCAGGAAAGCCTGCAGAATGCATTCAGCAAGGATTTCATGGTATAATCAGTGTTTCCCCCTCCTATGAATGGATAAAATCATGAGCCTTTGGGTAGCATGGAAAAAAATGAGAAAACATAACTATTTCTATTTAAATGCATATTTCTAATTAAATATACAACTGATCAAATCAGCACAAAAATATATGTGAAAATAGATACAGGTGATGCTAATTTTTAGATCGACTTAAATTCACATCAGGGGCTCTTATAAGCAGGATTGCTGGAATTCACTTCTAACGCTGGCCAGCTCACACGTGTGCAAAACAGTAGGCTTTGAGGACTGTCTGCAAAGCTGAAAGCCCAGAAACTTCTCTTCACTGGCCTACGAAACTGGAAAGCAACCACAGGCTTCCTGAGAGCTAAGTGACTATTACTGTTACTCTTAAATGCACGAACCTCAAAAAGAGCAACACAAGAATTGTTAATGGTGTATGAGTCACAAGCTCCTTCTTGGGAATGATATTGTCCGATGGATTCTGCTCTCACTAATGGGAGCAGGATGGTGAGGATCTTAGACGGGGCTTCACGTGATGCTTAGCCAGGTGCCTCACTCTGGAGGAGAGGAGATTTGGGAGCTAGAGTGTTCTGCGGGAGGGCAGGCCCAGGTGAGGCACTGGCGGGCCCTCTGGTGAGCGTGAGGGCACTGAGGCAGCTGTATGCCCACCAAGCAGCAGAATGAAGGCAAGGGCGTTCTCAGCATAATCAATGAAAGAACGAGGTGGGGAGGGGAAGGTGGGGGGGGGGATGGAAAGAAATAGCATGTGTTCAATCAGCCCATGACTGGTGGCCAAGAGGAACACCCCTCCTGGAGACCCATTTCTGGACCCTGGCTCCACCCAGCTGTACCAGCGGGTGCAGAGGGAAGCCACCCGGGCAAACCCGAGCAAAGGCAGGCTGACTCAGATCCAAACAGAAGCCCCATAGCTGCCGAATTTCCCACCTTTCCTCCCCTCTCGACCTCCCCAGCTACATGTCCCCCATGTCACTCTCCTTCTTTGGCTCACGGGGGTCCTCACGCTCAAGTTAACCACCATTCCCAAACCTTATAGAAGGTTTTAAAGAAAAGATAAGTGTTATGAGATGTGCGAGAGCCCCAATGACTGTTCAGCATATTGGTTTCAGCATTTCTACTATTTTGCTTTAAAACTATAAACGCCATAAAGGTGGAGACCATCTCTATGGGATGCATGTACTTCAGTGTTCATGTGGGCACCCACAAATTCAGTGGGCATTTTGTGTTTTACTTCATATATAGTTTTTTACAAGGGATATGACTGTTCATTATAGTCTTCCTCTCTCTCTCTGTCCCTTTCTCTCTCTTCCTCTCTCTCTCTCTCTGTCCCTTTCTCTTTCTCTCTCTCTCTCTCTCTTTCTGAATACCAAACTTAAAAACCTGAGAGGAAAGCAAGGGTAAATTATCTGATACTTTCAGTACACTTCCCCCACGCTTTCTGGGTTTTGTGAGCAAAGACAAAATTCTAATCCAGTTAAACACGGTAAATTTGAGTCTTGGACCTTCAGATCAGTGATTGCCTGACACACACTGACCTTGGTTCTGGCCTCTCAAAGATGCAGTAACTGAGGCTTACAGAAGCAAAATGACTTGCTAAGATCATGTGACACAACCGGCCAACCAGTTTTAAGAGCTATCTTAGGACAGACATGGGAGCCACTCAAGGTCATTGCCAGGCAGTGGAATCCAGTGGGGACGTGCACAGGCTGTGGAAACAGATGGATGAAGTTCAAACGCAGGTTTTGCCAGTTACTCGCTGGATACGCTGGCATAAGAAAGAACTTCTCTATGCCTCAACTAGCTCATCTGTGAAATAGGGCCACGGGTGGCACTGAGGCCATTGGGTCATCTTGAGGACCAAATGGGTAGGCTTACACCATGAAAAGTGCATAGGAGCGTGCTTAATGTATTAATAAAATCAGCTCTTTATTAGCATTACATCTGTATAATAAGTATGCTATTACCAATTACTGTTATCACCATCATTATCTCATTTCATGAAGGCTTTGAGAACTCCGCCAAGTAGGCCCAGAGGGGGAGTCAATCCAAAAGAGAACAGCGCCCCCTGTAGGAGAAGGCGGCATACACAGGCGCTGGCCTCACGCTCACATCTGATGCACAAATTACCCAGCCCAGTTCTTTCTTGGATGCCGGCGTCCTGGGCAGCTGTGGCAAACCCATTCATTTTTTTTTTTTTTTTTCATTTCTAGGAGAGAGAGAGACAGCGTGAGCCGAGGAGGGTCAGAGAGAGAGGGAGTCACAGACTGAAACAGGCTCCAGGCTCTGAGCTGGTTGTCAGCACAGAGCCCAATATGGGGCTCGAACCCACGAACCGCGAGATCATGACCTAAGCGAAAGTCGGACGCTTAACCGACTAAGCCACCTGGGCGCCCCTGTGGCAAACCCATTCTGATCACACCATGGCCAGCTAGCTCCATCCTCTGTGTCCCGCCTATTCTTCTGAGGTATGACTCCACTTCGTCACTCACAGGCTCCTCTCACACATCAGGTCCTCATGCTCTGGGCATCTCCCGGGCATTACAGTGTAAACTGCACGGTCTATTTTTTCTTTTTAATTTTTAAAGTTTATTTATTTAATTTGAGAGAGACAGCGCAAGTGGGGGAAAGGCAGAGAGGGAGGGAGACAGAGAAATCCCAAGCAGGCTCCATGCCATCAGCAGGCAGCCCCACTCGGGGCTCAAACCCACAAAACTGTGAGATCATGACCTGAGCCGAAACCAAGGTGCTTAACCCACGGAGCCACCCGTGCCCCCTGCACAGTATATTTTTAAATGCAGGTTCTTTTTTTTTTGCGCACTAGTCTGAGAACCTGCATCAAATTCTCTGCAAAGAAGGTCCAGACCCCTGCCCTCTAGGGGTTCTGATATACACCCGAATCTCAGCAGCACTGAGATTTACGGATTTCAGGCACTCATCTCTTCCTTCTGCTTGGCTACGAACCGCATTACCCACCACGTCTACTTTGACACCTTTCCCCACAATTCTGTGGCTACAGTAAGTTCTGGAATGACGATTTATCAAATCAATGTTTGCTAACAAGTCAAAGCCAGCTGGGATTCCGTCGCGCTAGGCGGGAGAAGCCAGGTATGACAGACCGTTGCTGCTGCTGCTGTTGCAGAATCAGACACGGCATCTGACACTGTGAAAAGCTCTAGCGAGGGAAGGGCAGGCGAGTCCTAATGGTATGCAGGGGGCTGTGCTGTTAAATAACTCCACTCCAAAAAAAAACAAAAAACAAAAAAAAGGCAGTCGTAGAGGAAAACACACAAAGACCCAGCTGCCCACAACATGAATAGCCTGCCAGGGCAATCCCATCGGGACCCTCCGAGAATACAGATCAGAGGGAAAGGGAAGTCTGAGATGGGCCAGGGCCTCAACGGTGCTAACCGTCGTCCATTTTCAGCCCCCTCTGCCTTTGCTTCCTCCTTCCTCGCTCCCTCCCCAAACCCGCAGCTCTACAAACACAACTTGAGAGCTGTTTAATCAAAAAGAGTGAGTACTGTGTGAAGATGGAGGGTCCCCGCCTTGGCCCTGCAGCTGGGCCTGAACGACATTGTGCTCATTATTCGTGGCGGGCATGAGCCCGAGAGAGACAGAGAGAGACAGAGAGAGACCGAGAGCGAGCTCCTTCTGCAGCTGGCATTCTGTGAGCTGCTACTCCTAAGAATCCGAGAGGAAACACTGCGTTTTGTTCCTGGGCATGACCGGTGGGGTGGGGAATGGGGAGCTCGGGACATTCTAAACAGAAATTTCAAAGCTCAAAAATGTAACTTCGTTGTTGGTTTTTAACAAAAGAAGAGGACTCAGAACACAAACAGGATATTATTACTGAGAATTACAGAATGTAACTCCGGTGTGTTTAAGTTAAAATGTAAATATATAAAGGGCCTTATAGAATACCATTTGACAAATGATGCATTGCGAGGGGTGGTGTCTTCCTTCATATAGAATCATAAATCTAGAGCTGGCCCAGATGATGAACACCTATACCTGGAATCTCATCTCCAAGATTTCTAGGGATGGAGAGTTCATACACTTTTCATGGCTCAGTGGACCATGTTGTTCACCTTGAATGCCAACGTTCTTCCCGGTGTCCAGGTGAAATCACTGATCTCCCTTTGTCTACCCAGCCCCACTGCAACCTCACTCTCTTTGGTGTGTTCTTCTGAATTCCTTTTATTTTTCCCAACAGCCTTTTAGAAGTAAAATAAGGGAACACAACCTAAAGCAGTACATAGAAAAAAAAAATTACTCCATGCATCTCAAACCCTATGCTCCCTTTCAGGAAAATGATAGTTTTTATTCTCCTAGCAAATATTTCTCTCTCTAGCAAGTCTGTCTGTCTGTCTGTCTGTCTCTCTCTCTCTCTCTGTCACATACACACACACCCCTCTTTCATATCTTGATTGGACTGCAAGGCCTTTTATTCTGTGACTGCATTTCCCCCTTGCATTTACACATACCCTGCAGACTTTATCAAATGCATCTCTCCTCCTTCCCTTGTCCTTACTGACTTCATCTTGCTTTTGAGGGACGACTTTCCCCAACAGCAACAGAACTCAAAATGACTCTAGGAAATCTCTAAAGGACGTGTAACGCAACTGGAGACCTCCTCCTACTTTCAAAGTGAACGAGTGCTTTCATGACTCCTTTGTGTCATCAATTCACCCAAAGTGCTGCATACACCCTGGGACCTGAGGCCGGTTCCGTGGACCCACGGTCTCTCGTCGAAGCAGAGCCTCTGCCAACTGCTCCTTGGAAGGCGGAAGTTCACCTTAGTGGAGCTGCCATTAAAATGACTTCTGGGGGAGGGGCGCCTGGGTGGCTCAGTCGGTCAAGCGTCCGACTTTCGCTTAGGTTATGATCTCGCAGTTCGTGGGTTCGAGCCCCGCGTCGGGCTCTGTGCTGACTGCCAGCTCGGAGCCTGGAGCCTGCTTCAGTCTGTGACTCCCTCTCTCTCTGACCCTCCCCTGCTCACGCTGTCTCTCTCTCTCTCTCCTAGAAATAAATAAAACATTAAAAAAAAAAAAGACTTTTGGGGGGGCACCTGGGTGATTCCATCGATTAAGTGGCTGACTCCTGATTTCGGGTCAGGGTACGATCTCAAAGGTTCATGAGTTCAAGCCCCACATCGGGCTCTGCACTCAGCACTAGAGCCTGCTTTGGGTCCTGTCTCCCGCTCTCTGCCCCTCCCCCACTTCTCACACATGCACACATGCACGTGCACGCACTCTCTCTCTCTCTTTCAAAAATAAACAAATGTTAAAAATTTTTAATAAAAAGTAAATAAGAAAAACACTTTTTTAAAACAAATTCCTATAATTCGCTCACCTCAATCTCTCTGATGGTTCCCCACAGTAGTGAGAATAGAGTCTAAACTCCCTGCCTTGATGACAAGGCTCAATCTGCACCGGGACTCCTGCCTGGCCACACCACATAACACAACTTCCACAACTTCCCAGTTCCGCTGCCCATTCCTTTCCGTTCCAAAGGACACCAATACCATGGACACCTGTGAGAATTCGTGCTCCCTGCGCCTTCTGCCTGAAAGATTCTTCCACAAGTTCCTTCAGCCTGGCTGTCTCAACCGCCAGGGCTTATTTACCTGTATGTTCTCTTCCTTCCTCCCCAACTAGCAGTTACACCCCACAAAGATGCTATGCTGGCCAGACGGTAAGCACCTGATGGTTATTTGTGAAATAAATGGACATGTGTGGGGTTTTGTGTACACAGCCATCACTCAAGATTTCTGAAGGCTCCAATCTGACCACAGCTATGCAAGACCTGGGGAGGGGATGGAATATTCTGGCAAGAAAGATAGATGGGTCCTGACTTCCCTAACCTGGAAAAGCAATGAGAACAGGAGTGTGTCTATAAGGTTATAAAAGAAACCCGCATGCAAACATGCATTTTTGTTATATTTTCTTTTCACTACTCAAAACAAAGTTCTGCCCCTTATTTAATTTTTACTTCTCAAAACAGACTGCTGATGACAAAACGTGTATAAACATATTTTCTTTGTTACCTCTGAACTGATTGCTATATTCATCAATTCATGCACAAAAGAATATCAAGCGAGAAAGAACCCAAAAGCTTACCAAAATTATACATTTCATTTCTAGGGGTTTTTCCCAATGTCAGCATTACAGTTTACATAAATGAAAAATGTTTTGCAATGGATTCTGAGGCATGAATATTAGTGTAAATTCTGAGGGCCACAGTCAAACAAAAATGCAAACTTATCCCCAAAGGAGAACTATACTGTTGAGAAACTTGTTTTTTATTCTTTAAGATGTGGTTTATTCAGAGTGCAGATACACAGGGAGGAAGGGTTTCTAAGGACAGAACTTGTCCTGGGTACAAGGGTGCAGCAAATATGTGGAGAATACAACTCTATTCACACCTACTGAAACTTATGCCTTTAATGCGTACCTGAAAACAGTGAAGAGAGCCACATGGCTACAAAAAAGCAAAATAATGGCTCACAACCATCTCTCAGTGAGCTTTTATTAGTCGTTCTACCTTCTCATTCTTTTAAAAAGTTACCGCGTGGAAAGGGGCACCTGGGTGGCTCAGCGGGTTAAGCTTCCGATTCTTGATTTCCGCTCAGGTCATGATCTCATGGTTTGTGGGTTTGAGCCCTGTGTCGGGATTCTCTCTCTCCCCTTCACTCTCGGCCCCTTCCCTCCTTCTTGTAATAAATAAACATCATCAGCTAAATAAATAGTTATCATTGGTAAACAAGTGTCTTAAGGCTTCACATCCTTTGTCTGTCCCCCCAAGAGGGCCACTGCTGGCCACAGGCCACATACCTTGCAGCCGCTATGAGTCCTGGTCTTCATCAGGGGCGTAGTGGTGCACAGCTCGATGGCCTCGGGCTCGTGGAAGATGACTGCGGGGAGGGGGTCCTTCTTCAGTGTCAGGACATTCAATTTAGACTTCAGCATGGTCTGAAAGTGCTGACAAGTGAGAGAAACAAACAAACAAATAAATACAGAGACCGACTACAGTGAAGTTTTTTGGAGTGGGACGTGGTGCGGCTCTACGTCAAACCCAATAGCAGAATCTTTGTTTTATTAGCTCTGTTTTACTAGGGATGGTCAAGAGACACTTAGTAAAATGAAGAGGGGAAACTGTCACTAAGGTGACATTGTGGGAGACAGCCAACTCCCACCCAGAGACCACAGGGACACGGGGTAGTGGTAGAATCACCCAACACCTTGTTCTGGGAAGTTCTTCCACGGTGATATGTCGAGATAGAATCCTAGAGCTTTCATGCATGCTGACCTCACCCAGTTAAGTGAAGATGTTCAGAAAAGAATGTGGTCAGAACTATTTTGGGGAACAGTCTAGAACTAATGAAAATGGAGAAGAACTGATGAAAAAGAAGACAAGAATCGCGCTCTTTGCCTTCCCCATCTCTGCCATGCACTGGCTGTAGAACTTTAGCAAAGTCACTACTTTTCAACAGACCATTTTATATTCTGAAGTCTAGGTAAATCCCTATTCCACATGCAGTTCCTATTGGCACCGGTTTTGAAATATAACCAGAATCCATCTCCATTTAATCACTGCGATGTATACACCCAGCCCTGCCCCCATCTTTGTTTGGCTACCGTAGCAGCTGGTCCTACCACACCCAGCCTTGCCCCAGTGCAGAGTACTACTTCAGGAGAGCCAGAGGGAGCCTTCTAACCTCAAATCACAGCTACGTCATCCCCCTGGTAAGACTCTCTCAAACCTTCCCTTCTCCTCGAAGAAATATTCCAAGTCCTTGCCTTGGCCTTGAAACCCACACACAATTCAGGGCCCTCTGCCTCTCTAACCTCGTCTCCCACTCTTCACCCTCCCTCTCACTTGGATCCCACCACAGTGGCTTCTTTATTCTTCTGAGGATAAGGAGACGACACGTGGGCCTTGGAATCTCTCAACATGCGCCTCCGGTTCTAGTATCTGCATCCCTTGCTTCTGTATCTTCCTGAGGACCTTGATCAAATGTCACCTTATGAGACAGTCCTTCTTTATCAACATTATCTAAAATTGCATGTGCGCGTGTATGTGTGTGCACGCACACACACACACAGATGGCTTCATGCACCATCACAACAGGATCTCCATGCTTGGTTTAATGCTCTTGGGTTAATGTCATGATCTTGAAATTGATCTTTGAGCTCGTGTTTTGTAAGCTGAGTCCAATGAGACAGTAGAGCACATGCGTGAGTACAGGAGATACACACAATATGTGCATCCCCTGACGCCTAGGAATTAACGAGATGTCAAGTGAGTACCAGGCAAGCATGTTGCATCTATGGCTCAGTAAGCAATGTCTTGGCAGCCCCAGGGGGCCATGCTTTGGAAGGAGAACTCGCTGCAAATGCAGAAGAAAGTCAGTTGTATTTTAACAAACATGAATGATCAAGGAACGCTGGCATATCCCTTTGATTTGTGGGACTTTCCTGTAATAGGCAACTGAAAATGACAATGGAAATGATAACAGAGAAGAAGGACAGGGAGAGCAGCCACAGCTCCTTCTTCCTTCAGACCCTCCTCACTAATTGGCAAACTAAAAGTAAAGCGTCGGGAGAACGTGCAGTTTTAGAAATGAAACAGGGGCGCCTGGGTGGCTCAGTCGGGGAAGCAACTGACTTTGGATTTCAGCTCAGGTCATGACATGGCGGTCTGTGGGCTGGAGCATCACGGTGGGCTCTGTGCTGACCGCATGGAGCCTGCCTGGGATTGCCTCTCTCTGCTCTTCCCCCGCTCGTGTGTGCACGCTTTCTCTCTCCTTCTCTCTCTCTCTCAAAACAAACAAATTAATTAGTTAATTAATTAATAAAAAGAAATGAAACAGGGTAGCTGGGAAGCTCAAGTCAGTTGAGTGTCTGACTCTTGATTTCAGCCCAGGTTTTGATTTCAGATCCCAGGGTCTTTGGACTGAGCCCCATGTTGGGCTCTGCAATGAACATGGAGCCTGCTTCAGATTCTCTCTCTCTCTCTCTCTCTCCCCCCCCCAGCCCCTCCCCCACTCATAGGTGCACATTCTCTCTCAATAAATAAATAAATAAATAAATAAATAAAAACAGGTGAGTTAGCTCTGTAGCATAGTTTCACTGCTCTGATAAGAACAGAATTCAGACGCCCATATGAACCCAGAAGTGCAAACTGACATTTCAATGATTCCACCCCCATATCTGTATTTAAAATGGGCATTGCACAATATAGTGATGAATGGTAGATTCATGTTAATAATCTAAATGTTGAATTTCTCTTTATTCAGAACAGCATTAAACAACCAAAGCAGCCAACCAAACAAACAGAAAAAAAAAATGCCATGACTCTGGCAGAGACAGATTCATGGATGAAAGTGAAATGTTTTGTGTTTCAGTACCTTTAATGGCAGTTTTCTCTACTTTTTTGAATACAGGACACTGCTTTGTCATTTTGCCCTGGGCCTCAGACTATGTAACCAACTCCACACATATATAATCATCACTGTCTATCCCCTTCCTCTGCTTGATCATTCTCATTACTACTTATCACCACTACAAAATTATGTATTTTCTTTATCTTATTTTCTGTCTTCTTCCATTAGAATATAATTGCCATCAGGGCAGAAACTGTTTTATTCAATGAAGTATCCCAAGAGTCTACAGCAGTTTCATGGGTCCACACAGAACCTACTAGAACTCCCAACTGGCCACTGGCCACACTGATGGTCATTTTTATGTATCAACTTGCCTAGGCTACTATGCTGTTATCCGACGAGACGCTAATCCAGATGTCGCTGTGAAGGTCTTCTGTAGGTGTGACTGAGTTGCAGACCCATCCCAGATAAGCTGGGTGGACTTAATTCAATCCATTGAAAGAACTTACCAGGTGAGGTGAGGCTTCCCGGAGGAGGAATAATTTCTACCTGTGGGTGGCAGCTTCAATCCATGCCCAGGAGTTCTAGCCTTCCTGATGGTAGAAGAAATAGCTCAAGGCTCCCAGACTTGCCTCTCCAGCCTCCAGAACTGCACAGGCCGGTTCCTTGAGTAAGTCTTGAGCCATTTCTCCTATTAGTGCCCTCTCTGACTTCACCCTGATGAATACAGCCACCTTTCAGGATACAAAGTTTCCAGCTCTGATACTTCTTCAAGTGGGAAAGACATTTGCCATTTGCCCTCGTATTTCTCAGTGAATATTGACTTGTATTTTTTAAAACCATAAGGGCAGGGGCGCCTGAATGGCTCAGTCAGGGTTAAGCATCCAACTCTTGATTTCCCCTCAGGTCATGATCTCATGGTCCGGGAGTTCGAGTCCTGAGTCGGGCTCTGCACTGACAGCATGGAGCCTGCTTGGGATTCTCCCCACTCCCACCCCCGCCCTTTTCCCATTGGCATGCACGCTCTTTCTCAAAATAAATAAATAAAAAGAAAAAACACAAGGGCAAATTTTCAAATTAATCTGGAAGTTTCTGTCTTTGTTCTTAATTGATTCCAGCCAACATCTGGGGTTACAAAGAGGGTTGGGAGGAGCACCGCAGACACCTGACAGTGGGAGGAAAAGTTGGTGGCCTTTGTGGGACAGCAACTAAGGCCATATGATGAAGAAGGTAAAGAGAAGAGTGTCTCAGAAGAGGAGGTAATGAGCAAGGACACTGTCCATGACCGCCATCTTGCTGGGGGCTCTATGAGAAGTACATGAAACCACAGCTCACCTCAGCCGGACTTTGGCCACACAGTAAGTTCCCAAAGATGGCACCAGAGGTAACTCTACTCCCACGAGGGCTGGACAACCACACTGCCCAGAATCTCTGAGATGTCTGCCCGTCCCCACTGTGGGACCAAATGTTATGGCTACTGGTTTAGTCACTGAGCACAGAGAGAGACTGGAAGCTGCAGACCAGATACAGGCAGCCAGAGAGGCAAGTAAGAGAAGGAAAACAACATTTTTAAAACCCTAAATTGGGGGCTGGAAGATAACTGAGTTCCAATGCCAACTTCAACACGTGCTGCATAACCTCAACTGCCTATCTCTTCAAAGCCTGAGCGTCTCCAGCCCACCGATTTACTGTGCACACCGTCCCTGAACACCTACACTCACCCAGACACTGTAGCAGGCAGGCACGGCTAGAACAGAAATAAAATGTTAGTCTCTGCTGGAAAGGGTTTCTCGCAGATAGCTGGAGACTGTTAAATCAAATGACAACTGCAAATCTGTATGAGTTCATCGGACTAGCTGCAGAGAGAGAGGCCAAGGCAGTATCTGAATGTGAAAAAGAGAAAATGATTCCTTCTTTAAAAAATTGCATTTTTTTCTTTAATGGCTTTGTCCTCTTTGCCCACAATGAGCGGATGAGGGTAGAGAGGGAAATACAATGTGAATTATCTGATGAGTCACTGAGTCTACAATAATACATCTTTTTACAGAAAATTAACCTAACTGAGAGCCGGTCTTGAAAATCTACGAATGAACGAACAGTAGAAGTGTGATTGTAGAGCTGTTTCTGCTAAGAAGACCCTTCTGCCCCCCTTTAAGGAAACGTCTTCACGGCTACGCTGCTTTGTGGAGTGGGGCTGTCCCTGCCCCCTGCCCCTGGGAAAGAATATGTGACACAGGCTGACCGCTGAGTACTGCGTGTCTCTGGCCTTTGGTTCAGAGGAAACTCAAGGCTGGTGGAACAGACTCTTCCGGGAGGACTGACTGACTTACAGGGTTGCTAGGCCGGGGTGATGTGAGTAGAAAGCTGCTGCTGACTTCACCTGCCAAGGTCAGCCCGAGAATAAGACCACACAGAGACAAAGAGGGATGAGATATGGAGAGTCACAGATTTGACCTTGCCTTCCCCTGGATCCAGCTGCCTAGCCGACTCAGATTCATCCACGGACTTACTGAGAATGTGCATCAGTACCTTCTCTTCTACGCTTAAGCGAGCTTGAGTGAGGTGTCTGTTCCTTGCAACTTGAAAGGGTCTCAC